CTTACCTCCTGCTGCATCATATCACTGTTCATATAGAGTCCAGTTGTGCCGGTTTTGGTGATGTTAAAATTGTTTATCTGGGCATATTTGAAAATATTCCAATATTTTAATTAATAATAATTACCACTTACTGCTTACTTACATATACCAAGAATTTTGCTAATTGTTTTCTATGCGACTTCTTATATTACATCTCAGTACATTCACTGTACTTATAGATTTGAAAAACGGACCGGACTTGGTTGTTTGGAAGACTCTGAACCACTGCTCCGAGCTTCAATTTGTTTTTTTGACATAGTGATTCTTGCTCTTGATTTACGGGGTTATTTTGAGGATTATTTGAAGTAATGATATGAAAGCATATTGAAAAGTAGAACACGCCCTGCTTTAGTGTTATAAAAAAAATTAAGAAAAGAAAATCCAAAATAAACAGTTACTGTGATGTCTGTCTCACTTATTTCGCACCCGTTTCTTGAAGGCGCTAAGCCAGGCCCCACAGAAGAGGATGAAAGCGGCGCGGTGCCGGCGCGCAGCAGCCGGAGAGGCGGGGACGCAGGTGAGCGGCCGCACAGCCACCCTCCGCGGGAGCCCGGGGAAGGGCCCAGAGCCGGCCCAGCGCCGCGCGCCCCGCCGTGCGCCCCGCTGCCCAGCGCCCCTAGCGTCTCCAGTCACAGGCGCCCCGCCCAGCGCTCCGTGTGCGTCCCTCCCCGCGCCCCACCCAGGCCCGCGCCCCGCCCCCAGCGCCCCACTCCGGCCCGCGCCCCGCCCCAGTGCCCCGGCCCCCGCCTCCAGTGCGCCCCGCCCCTCCGCCTGCGCGCCCCACCCCCCGGCCATGCACCTCTACGCCCTGCGCCCCGCCCCCAGTGCGCCCCGCCCCTGCGCTTCCACTCCGAGCCTCTACGCCCCGCCCCCCGCGCCCCAACGGCGCTCGGGCCCCGCCCCTCGCGCTCGTCGCCCGCAGCCAGCTGGGTCCGTTGCAGAGCAAGCGTCGCGCCGCTGGCAGGTTCGGGACGTCCGGCGCACGGAGACTGGTGCGGCTACGCACGGGGCGCGCCCTGCGGACCCGTGGTGGGAGTCCGCGGCCAGAGGCCGGCGCGGGTCTGGGCCTCCGGGACAGGAGCAGGCGGCTGTGCAGGCAGGTGGGGGCCAGGCAGCCGGGCTCCGTGTCACCTCCGCAGTGAGGCGTCGGTGCTTCCGTTCGTTGCTGTTACCGGCCCTGCGAGCTGCAGCCCCCTTGCCCTTTTAGGAACGCAGGTTTACCTCTTGAGAAAACGGTATACTGGAAATTATTTATTTGCAGGAAAATTACCATTACCTAAGGCCCATGTATTAAATCGTAGGGGCTGCTCCCTTCCTAGTTTGCTGCTGTAGATTTTTAAAAACCCGTCTTATTTTAAAATGTAATTTAAGATGGAAAATTTAACATGCAAACAGCCACTGATGACATTGTGGTAATAATGAATTTAACATTAGTGGACAAGTATTAAACATGTTTTAATGCTAATTTTTGGGGGGAGGGAAGTTAGCTATTCAGTGATAGCTTTGAAGTTAAAAATCAGTCAATGGATGAAATATTTTGCTCCCAGTGATGGACTGCAGCAACTATTGTTGTGTGTTGGGCCACACAGAGCAATCTTGTATACGTGTTTTATGTGTAAGTATTTATACTACAACTTAAAAGAACTGTTCTTGGCCAGTTACTAATGTCGGTCGTTAGGTCGTTAGCTGTGTGGTTCTCGGTGTCTTTTACTTTCAGCGTGGCTCGGGTTCCTCGTGGGCAGGAGGCAGCAGCCACTGTACCCTCTAGGAGGTGATGCATTTTCCGCTTTAACGATAGTTAATGAATGAAAGATTATTCTGCCACAAAGCGCACAGTTTGTGTTTTATTTCAGGTAGAGGCGCTCTGATTTTGGGGAGCACAAGCCAACCTTCATACTGGTCTCTGTCGTTAAAAGGTGAGAAGATGACCCAGTGATATTCCCCTGAATCCAAGCTCCCAACACTTTTTCTTCTTTTTTTAAATATAAAAGTAGTAAATTTAAATCTAAAAGGAAGCCCTTGTTATAGGACATTGTTAACTTATAGGGTCTTCTGTGTGCATGTGTTTGTCTTCTTTTTTAAAAAAATTGTGGCAAAACCTACATAACATAAATTTTACCGTTTTTAAGTGCACAGTGCAGTGGCATTAAGTACATTCACATTGTTCTGCAACCATCACCACCATCCATTTTCAGAGCTGTTTCCTCTTCCCAAATGGAAACTCAACATCTATTAAATAATAACTCTCCATTCCCCACACCCCAGGCCTTGGCACCCATCATCCCACTTCTGTCTCTGTGGAACTGAATTCTGTAGGACCCTCATATATATATTTATTTAGTTATTTATTTTTGGCTGCGTTGGGTCTTTGTTGCTGCGCACAGGCTTTCTCTAATTGCGTTGAGCGGGGACTACTCTTCGTTGCGGTGGGCGGGCTTCTTATTGCAGTGGCTTCTTTTGTTGCCGGAGCCTGGGCTCTAGGCGCGCGGGCTTCAGTAGTTGTGGCACGTGAGCTCAGTAGTTGTGCCTCGTGGGCTCTAGAGCCCAGGCTCAGTAGTTGTGGCACACGGGCTTAGTTGCTCCATGGCATGTGGGATCTTCCCGGACCAGGGCTCAAACCCGTGTCCCTTGCATTGGCAGGTGGATTCTTAACCACTGAGCCACCAGAGAAGTCCAAGGGCCCTCATATAAGTGAGATTGTACAGTATTTGTTGTTGTGTGTCTGGCTTATTTCACTCAGCATACTGTCCTCAGGGTTCATCCACGTTGTGGCCTGTGTCAGAATTTCTTTCCTTTTTAAGGGTTGAATAATATTCCATTGTAATTAGATGTTCATGCAACATTTTGTTTATTCATGATTCATCCATCAGTGGACACTTGGGTTGCTTCCACCTTTTGGCTGTTGTGAAACGTACTGCAGTGAAATTAGTGTACAAATATCTGAGTCTGTTCTTTCAATACGTTTGGGTATGTACCCAGAAGTGGGATTGCTGGATCATATAGTTCTATTTGTAATTTGGACGGGAACCACCATACTGTTTTCCACAGTGGCTACACCATTTTACATTCCCACCAATAGTGTGCAAGGATTCCAGCTGCTCCACATCCTTGTCAGCACTTGTTATTTTCTGTTTGTTTTGTTTCGTTTTTGATAATAACCATCCTGTCCCTTTTTTATTTGTTTTATTTTGAGTGACTTGTGTGAGGTCACTTGCTGGGAAATAACACACTGGGGTGTGGGCTTCCCCGGCTGTTGGGATCACCCGGGCCCCAGACATTAGGGGAGACCTCAGGAGCTCCAAGCGCTTCTGTATCCTTCCCTTTTAGAAGAAAGTGTTTTCTCCAAAGAGGCTGGGGAAGACTGTCATCACTTCCCACCAACCAGAGAGCTGCCCGGGCTCTTCCTCTGTTTGAGTCCCACACTGGGGCTGGTGAGAGGATAGTTCTGGGCACGCATTTGCCAGTCTTTACGTTCCTGCCTGGCTCCCACTCAGAGGAGCAGGAACAGCCTCTGTCCTTTTCCCTCTTGTGTCTGTGATGAGGGTAGACTGTTGTGCATTTAAAGAGAGATGATGGACTGAAACAGCCACGCTGTGTGTTTGTAATTCTAAAATGCCCGGGAAAATAAATAAAACTAAACGTAAGCCATTAAGTCCACACACATTAATTGAGCACCTACTGTTTGCAGGCACCAAGTGGGCATGAGAGGGGGGGACATGAAGATAAATGGGCTGGGTTCCTGTGCAGGGAGTGGAGAGCCTAGTGCAGTAGGAAGTATTGTTGATGTCATGGCCAGTGCACACAGGCACGTGTACAGAAAAACGGAGCTCAGAGCTTTACTCTGCCTTTCCTCCACAGTGTGCCCTACAAGTTTGTCTTTTCTGTTTTGTTTTATTCTATTTTATTTGTAAAAATTTGGGTGAGAAACCACCAAACTGATTTTATAAACCAGTGATGAGTCTATTCTAGCTTTTTGAAAAATTCTGGGATAGTAGTGTTATCGAACCAAACTTGGGTCTAATCTACTGACACCAGATTGTGGTGAAGGAAAATGGGGTATTTATTGGAAAGGCGCCAATACAAGGAAGACAAGTGGCTCCTGCTCTAAAACCCCAAACTCCCCATGGCTTTTCATTGAAAAGTTTTTATAGGCAAAATTTGGGGGGAGGGTGCGGGGTGTGTGGCTTTCTTCTGTTTGGTTGGTGGTGAAGTAGCAGGGCGGGGCTCCAGGAATCTTGTGCTCAGCCTGAAGTTGCCTTCCTCCACCTGTGTGGGAGCCTTAGTTCTGCAGAAGAGCTCAAAGTCATTATTGTATCTTGAGGACCCTGCCCCAAGGCACTATTGTTTCTAGACTGTTACTTCCTTGTCTCTGCATTCCTTCCCTTTCCTGATTAGTAACTGTTTGAATCTGCCCTTTGGGACTCAGGAAAGGTCAAGGAGGTTGAGTGAAGCCTGTTTTCTACAAATGAGAAACGGGGCACACAGAAAGGCCTTGTACCGGAGTGGGCCCCATAGGGTCCTGCTCCATTTCAGTAGATGTTACTGAGCTGTTTTTATACTGTTGTCGTCTGTGTTGTCAGGAATAAGAAGTGTGTGTGTAGTAGAAATCAAAATACCAAGATTCAGCCCTGTAGGGGTCAGCAGGGCCTCTTACGTGTAGATAAGCCAGGAGGGGTCCTAGACCTGTGAGCCTGCCCCTTCATCCGAGGCCAGACTGAGCTGTGTCAGGAGCCTGTATGGCTTTCCTGCTGGGTTAATTTTTTTTTTTTTTTTTTTTGCGGTACGCGGGCCTCTCACTGCTGTGGCCTCTCCCATTGCGGAGCACAGGCTCCGGACGCGCAGGCTCAGCGGCCATGGCTCACGGGCCCAGCCGCTCCGCAGCATGTGGGATCCTCCCGGACCGGGGCACAAACCCGTGTCCCAAACCCGTGTCCCCTGCATCGGCAGGCGGACTCTCAACCACTGCGCCACCAGGGAAGCCCTGATGGGTTAAATTTGATGAGCTTAATAAAACTGACAAATTGAACTTGGGGAGTGAAAACAATAACATTTTATTAATTTTGCCTTTTGAGCCCAAACCTGCTAACGCAGAGGAAAGCTTCTAATATGGACAGAATTATTCATCATTAATCCCAAGAAGACAACACACAGAATATAGTCTTTATCATAACCTTCCACTTCCTCCTCTTACAGGCTGGTGATACAGATGGATAAACACATCTTTTTCGTGTGTTTATTGATCAGGCAGGAGGGGACAGTGGCATCTGCGCCTGGGAGGGACCAGACCCCCTGTCGCTTAGTATAGGAAAGGACACGTTTTCTCTCCATTCACCTGTGAGAGCCTGGACGTGAAAGGGACAGTAGCATTTGGTGGTTCAAGCTGTGGCTGTGTTACCGGAAGGGGAACCCGTCCCAGGGCCCAAGGGTGGGGTCTTTAATACCCAGAAATGAATTGTCCAAGGAGACACATGTACTGATGAAGCAGAAGACTTTACTTTAGTGGGAAGGGGCACCCAGGTGGAGAGCAGCAGGGTAAGGGAACCCAGGAGACCTGCTCTGCCACATGCTTGTAGTCTCAGGGTTTATGGTAATGGGTTTAGCTCCCCAGGTCCTCTATGGCCAGTCATTTTGCTTGTGCCTGTATTTGGTCCAATTCCTGGCAGTGCAGGCATCTCAGTCAAGATGGTTTCCAGTGTGAGGGTTTCTGAGAGGTTGGCAGGACATGTTGTACGCTGGCGTCTCCTGCCTTCTTTTGGGCTCTCCCTAATTCTTCTGGCTGTTGGTAGCTTGTTTGTCAGTCTGTGTTCCTTATCAGGACCTCCTGTTGTAAGATAAATCATGCAAGCGGTCATTATCCTCCCTGGGCAGGGCGGGCGGTTTCAGTCAGTGGTTCCCTAACAGCTGTGGGGATCTTAAGTCACTGGTTTTTATTATGGTTGAGATAAAACATAAGGTTTACTTTTAGTGAGGCAAGGGTCTGGGGGCTTCAGGTGTGAAGCGTTAGAAGCACCACGTAGTGAATGAATGGAGAAGCAGGGTCAGCCCGGCGGCCATGGCTCCCAGACCCTCCGGTCACTGGCCCTCCTTCCCTGGACCTGCTGGGTTCCACTGACCGAGCCTACGGGAATCCCTCAGGGTGTGAGCTTGACTCTAATCTTGTCCTGAGAAGCCTGCCTCATAGGGATGAAATATAATTCATATTTTATGGTAAGGCGAGAAAACCTTAGATACAAAATTTTTCTCTGCCCATTTGGGCCTCATCCCCCATTTAGTGTGTGCTGTGCACCTGCACTGACCAGCCCTCCTAACTTAGAGAGGGCCTTCCTTCTTCATCTCATCAAGGGTCACAGCTCCTTATGGGGTGACCTTCGTTCTTCAACTTGTAAGGGACCGTGATGGCCCACCACTCACTGCTTGTACATGCAGGTCTGGATTGTGTAAACTGTCAGTGATACATTTGATGTGTGACCCTTTGTCTCAGAAACAAAAGAGCATCTCCCAGGTTGGCTTGAATAAAATTTTCCATTTTTTCCTTAGATCGACTGTTGGTTAATTTTACTGTCAACAATAGAAAGACTTACTTTAAAAAAAAAAAAAAAGCCCTTTTGTGAACATTTCTGTTAATCTCCATGGGTGCAGTGGGGGCAGGTGCTGTGACCCCGCGAGGCCCAGGGAGGGTCGGGGACTTGCTGAGGTCCCCCAGCAGAGCTGCGGTCGATTCTCACAGATCTGACGGAGGATGCAACACCGGAAGAAGAGCCAGGGCTGCTCCGTCTCGCCCTTTCCTGCCCCGCCGGCCGCAGGGTAGTGATTGGTTGCCCATGGCTGCAGGTTCCTTCGAGCCGGGCCAGGAAGTGAGCAGCAGCCAGGTCCCTGAGGCCGGCCGCAGGCTAGGAGCCAGCAGAGGGCCGTAGAAAGCAGCCGTGGTGGAAGTGACGTCTGGGCCCCTGGCGTGGGGCTCAGAGCCACGCCTGGCCTGGTTCCCCCACCATGTCAGCCCTAAACACTGCCTTCACTTCAGAAGGTCAAGGGGGTGGGCTGTGGCCATGACGTTGCAGACAGCGTTGGGAACACGACTTTGATGGATGGTACAGTGAGTTTTGGAAAGAGGAAGAAAAGCAGTTTCCAAGCTTTGAGAAAAAGGAACTGTTTGAAAGATTTGGTGTAAGAAGCTGTCAAATATGGTTTTCACTCTGATGGTGAGTTCTATATTTTTTAATGATCACATTATACCAGGTTCACGTGGTATTGGGGTTTTCTCCAGAAAATGTGTCTCAACAGCCTCTGGCTGGCCTGCTGCCCCCCTTCTTTCCTTTCTTCCCCTTCCCCCCCTCCTTCCTTCTAAGTCCTCTGGTTTGTTTGTTTATGGCAGAAAGAACACGGAAGCCTGAGGAAGGGCCAGGGCTCGGCTTGTGCCCTCTGACCCGTTTACCTGGGCCCTTATCTAAGCTGATAGCTGTGGGGCATAGGGCGGGCTGGGAGGGGTCCCCCGTGCCCACGGTGCAAACCCACCGTGTCTCTGCTTGTCCTTGTGCTCTTGTGTCCTCCCCCCGGGGTGTGACCTCCCTGTGCTCCCAGGTCTCTGTCACCATGCCGTGGGGAACAAGGTTCTCTGACGGAGCAGTGGGTGTGGAGGAGCCATTTAACTTTGTCCTTAGGGTTTTCTCTTGGGAAACTGGGACCCACAGAGCAAAGGCTGCTGACGGAAGGCTCCAGACCAGCCCCAGGGCTGGGGCTCCCTCCCTCTCATCCTCGTGGTTGGGGACATTAGGGTCTAGCAAGTTTCAGCTGCTGTTTTGGCCTTGGCTTTCAGAATTTTAGGAGATTCTAGGACTTTGAAAGAAAATGGGACAGTGAGAGCAAGTGGTTTTGGTACATTTGAATGAGTCCAGGCGGAGGCTGATGGTGTTGAGAGGGTTCGTTACTCCTTCGAGTCCCTTCGCTTTTCCCTCTTTTATCAGCGAGCAGAGAGTCCGTGCCCCGAGTCACACTGACGGTTGTCCACACCTGAGGTGTGACCGTGACGAGTGCATGGCAGCAAAAAGGACTTGCTCCTCCTCCTCGTGCCATCCGAGGAAGCGCTGGCCATGTGGGCAGAGGTTCGCGTCGGGTGACCACACGTCAGGAGGCGGCGCTACCACCCTCAGAGCCACTCTGCACTCCCCTTGGAGAAAACAGGTGGGGAGGACAGTCCAGGTCAGAGGGGAAGGGCTGGCTCCCATCACTGACGGCCCAGACCTGGGGGTAAAGCTGTCGTGTGTTGTGCGTCTTCCGTGATCCCAGGTCACATGCGTGGCTGCCTGTGACCTCTGTGTCCCAAGGGACGTGTTTAAAATCTAGCCTTTGAGCCCTGCTCCCTCTCCCATCGGGTACTTGCTATAAACAATGCGGTTCGCGGGCAGACACGGGACAGGATGGGGAGGTGGGAAGCACCTGCCCGTCATTTCCTCGTTTCTAAAAAGCCGCCTGTGGAGGTGAGTCCTGAGCAGTGCAGCCCCACAGCCGTCAGCATGATTTCAGTCGTCGCAAGCCGGCTTCCTCATTGATCGGTTTCTGGTATTTTCAACACTGGGTTGTGTTTTTTTTTTTTTTTTTTTTTTTTTTTTTTGTGGTACGCGGGCCTCTCACTGTTGTGGCCTCTCCTGTTGAGGAGCACAGGCTCCGGACGCGCAGGCTCAGCGGCCACAGCTCACGGGCCCAGCTGCTCCACAGCATGTGGGATCTTCCCGGACCGGGGCTCGAACCCGTGTCCCCTGCATCGGCAGGCGTACTCTCAACCACTGCGCCACCAGGGAAGCCCTGGGTTGTGTTTTAAGCTTTTGTTTAATGGCTCAGCATACACGTTTGCCCCTGTTTGTTTTTAGGTGAGGTTTTGCTGTTTTCCCGCGTCTTAGGAGTTGTGTGTTATAAACCCCACTGTGGAGTAGGCTGGGCTTTTACAGGTGCAGGTGCGAACATTCTGGAAGCCGGACTTTGCGGCGATTGTTTTAAGCCCTAAAAGAATGAGTGTCCTTGTCCCTTTGGTTGTCAACCATATGAAGGTTCCTAGATCCATCCTAGAAAATCACCTCCCTGGAAAGGACTCTGTATTTATTGGCTCAGTTAAGATCCATGGTGGGTGTCTCCACAGTTCCCCCTGCCTTCTGGGGCTTCTCCCGAGTCTGAGCTCTCGTGGTCACCGCCTGTTGTAGGATCCTGGTCTTGAGCACTAGTGGAGGAACCTAAAGTGGAAGGCCACCTCTCAAAACCCACCTCAGGCCACTCTTTCATCAACATTCTCGTCAGATGTGTCAAAAATGGATGCAAAGTTCATCTGTGATTCAGATGAACCCGTGAACATTTGAAAGGTTCCCGAAGAGAGACAACTGCACATAAATGTCTTATAAAGGAAGGCCATCTAGAGTTTAAGGCTGATGTGCAGGTGAAAACCCATGTTTGTGGGAATGTGTGTAACCCAACGCAGTGTTCATGGCTGTGGCTGCATCAGACCCCAGCCCTGAGCCAGCGAGGAAACACCTTGTCTGTGAATGTCTACTTCTTTTGTGGAAGAGCCGTGTAGAAAGGTGGAGAATTCACACCAAAGGCAACGCTGTTACATGGGGCTACGGCCTGTTGATTTTTGCGGAGGTAGGTGGGCATCCTTTTGGGAGCCAAGTGGCACCTGTTTGCTAATTGTTGACTTTTCCTGTTATGTCTCGCACCTTAAACATCCTTCCCTAGACTCCCTCCACCTCATGATTTCTAAAGTAGTAACAAAACTTTGTCATCTTGGTGGGAAGATCATTCTAGTAGCGCTATCCTGTCATGTGGAGGTGTAGAGACCGCCTAGGAAGCCACTGTTTTCCCTTATCTGTAAGTCATGTGGTGGGTCGTCCTTGTGAAAGTACAGGACAGTCCTGTTTATCTGGGAAGGTGATAGGGTTCTGGAACTTGCTAGTTCTTAATGGAGGCCTAGTGACAGTGGCTTGTTAAGGGACACACATCACCCGGTCCTCTTCCTTTCCCTGCAGGTACTCAGCTAAGACACCAGCGCCAGCTGCACCTGGCCAGGAGTCTAGTTTCCTTGTGGGAAGTCTCGTGGATTTGACTTGGCTGCTGCACCCCCAGGCAGGGACATGGCTGCAGAGGACACGGCCTCGACCCGGCTGGGGGCCGGGAGGCAGCACCTCCGTCCACTGAAGAGGAGGGGCTTGGTGCTGCTGAGACTCACGGCCATCGTCTTTGCTGTGCTTCTCTTTTGTGAATTTCTAATCTATTACCTAGTGATCTTCCGGTGCAGTTGGCCTGCAGTGAAAACTCCCGCGGATGCCGGTGGACTCGGGACCCCTGAGCCTGTGCTCAGGGCCATGTTCTTGGCTGACACCCACCTGCTTGGGGCTGTGAGAGGCCACTGGCTGGACAAATTACGGAGGTAGGGGCTGGACAAATTACGGAGGGTTTTCTGTGGGTCCGTAGGCTGGAGGCTTGTCGGCCTCTCCTCATGGTTTGGGCCTCACGGCTTTAGGGACGCATTCGTTATTTTCTTCTCAAAGAAGGACGTTTGGGGCATTTGGCTTTTCCTTTAACTTACTATTTACTGAGTGTCTGTTACGTACAAGGACCCAGGATTGTGAGTCGGGTGTGGGTCTGAGTCCTGTGGCTCTGGAATAGTTATCAGGCCTCTGAGCTCCTTTGTCTCCCCGTCTGCAAGTGGATTCATACGGGAAACCTCACAGGCCATGTGGACGAGGTCCGCGGAGCGGTCTTCCTCTCCCCCTCACCTCTTTGGTGTGAAATTTTGAGCCCTTGGGTTTGCCCCTCTGGGAGACTGGAGGAGGAGCAGATTTGTGGTTGTTTCCCTGGGGACAGCTTAGACCTGCTTGGCTTAGTTTGTTTTCTCATTGGAAGGCTTTTAAAAATGTTATTTAAAAAAAATTTTTTTTAATTAATTATTCTTGGTTGCGCTGGGTCTTAGTTGTGGCACGTGGGTTCCTTAGTTGCGGCTCGTGGGCTCCTTTAGTTGCAACGTGTGCTCCTTAGTTGCGGCTCGTGGCCTTCTTAGTTGCGGCTCACAGGCTCCTTAGTTGTGGCATGTGAACTCTTAGTTGCGGCATGCATGTGGGATCTAGTTCCCTGACCAGGGATCAAACCCGCGTCCCCTGCATTGGGAGGCAGATTCTTAACCATTGCGCCACCAGGGAAGTTCCTAAAAATGTTATTTTTAACTGTGGTAAAATGCAAATAATGTAAAACTTACCATCTTAACCATTTTTAAGTGCACAGCTTGGTGGCATTAAGCACATTCACAGCACTGCCCAGCTGTCACCCCATCCATGCCCAGAACCCCATCATCTTCCCCAGCTGAGACACTGTCCCCACTGAGCACTGACTTCCCCTTCCCTCCCCCAGGCCCTGGTCCCCCACCATCTACTTCTGTCTCCAGCAACTTGACTGCTCTGTGTCCCTCAGTAAGTGGGTCCCACAGTGAGTGTTTGTCCTTTTGTGTCTGACTTGATTCACTGAGTGGAACGTTCTCCAGGTCCATCTGTGTGGTGGCAGGTAGCAGGACCCCCTTCCTTTTTGAGGCTGAGTTTTACTCTGCTGTCTAGACGGACCACATTCTGTTTATCCGTCATCTGTTCCTGGACACTGGGTTGCTTCCACCCTTTGGCCTTTGTGCTTGATGGCATGAAGGCAATTCCTGGCTTGGTGGCCCTGTCCCTGGCACCTTTTCGTCACCATGGCTTCATTTGTGCCTCCCTGGACAGGGCTTTACTCCTGTGGGCGGGAATGTCCTCCAGTGCTTGGGATGTCCCCAGGGTGGGCGAAGGAGGCGGGATGGATGGTGGGGCTGCTGTACCTTCTTCCTCAGAGTTTTAAACCCCAGGAGGCATGAGCTAGACCAGGGCTAGGGTGAGGCCCGGGTTCTCTGTTTGGGCCTCACCTAGGGAGCCTTGTTTATGAGCAGTCCCACGAGCAGCCTGCCGTGTCCTCCTGCTGCTTCTACACGCTTTCCTCGCCAGGGTGAATAAATCAGGGCAAACCAAGATGTGTATTTGTGAGGCGTCCTGGGTGAAGCAGTGGCCACGCAGAGAGGTTTCTTGGCCTCAGTCTCCCCTGACGGACAGTTACCGTCCCCTCTACTCTGTAGCAGACGTAACGCCCGCTTTGGGAGGGGAGAGGAGCTGGGATCGCAGGACAGTGGTGGAGTCGGAGTTGGCCAGGGAGCTGGAGGCGGGACAGGCGCTGCCAATTTGAAGCCCCACCAGTGTGGGCACCGTGCCCGCTCGCTTCATCCCGTGACTAGCCATGAAAGCAGGTTTCACTGTCTCGTTGACCACAGAGAAACCAGGAATCAAAGGCAGTAGGCAGCGTTGGCGAGGCGACCACGGGTTGCTGGAGGGCGCTGTGTTGGGCTGTGGCCTGATGGGCTGCAGACCCGAGGCTCTGAGCGATCATCTTCCTCCGGGAGTTCTGATGCTGGGCTGTGTCTCTCGTCTCCCCCAATAAGCCCTGTGCTGCATCTCCTCTGTGTGTCCGTCGGCATTGGCATCTTTGGAAGCCGCATCCAGGCCTCCCAGGCCCCTGGGCTCTGGTGAAGGAGGGACAGCTTCATGTGCAGGGTGGGGCTGGTCTGAGGGTCCCACCCAGGGAGGCAGTCCCTGCGGTGGTGGGAGGGGCAGCCTGACGGTCCCCTGGTGCCTTTGCCCCCTCAGTGAAGCAGGTGGGGACCCTGGCTCTTCCAAGCAAGGGGGGCCATGGAAGAAGGAGCGGGGACCTTTTAGTTCACATTTTAAATGGCCTGTCAGACCGTCCGCTGGATGTAGCTCTGCCCGAGAAGTGGACTGACCCTTCCTTTTCTCTTGGCCTCCAGGGAGTGGCAGATGGAGCGAGCCTTCCAGACGGCACTGTGGCTGCTGCAGCCCGAAGTCGTCTTCATCCTGGGAGACGTCTTTGACGAAGGGAAGTGGAGCTCCTCCCAGGTGGGACCCTGCAACCCTGGCACCCTGGTCCTGTGCTGAGGTCCAGCATAGGAAGCCCAGGGGGTCGTGGAGCCCTGGCTGTGGGTCGGAGGTTCCTGCATGAACAGTGTGTGGCCTGTCCTGAGGTCTTTGGGCTGTGTGTCAAGACAGTCGTGAGTTAGGTCGGCTCATCTTAGGTTTGCCTGTGTAGGAGACACCTGGGTTAGCCAGACGCTTCCCACGAAGCTCTCGGAAGGGGAAAAGTAAGCAAGAGGGAAGTGTTTCAGTTGTCCCCAGAGTTACAGAGTACATGCTGAAACGTAGCTTGACTTTAGGCTCTTAAAATATAATGGCTACATCATGAGATTGTGCTATGTACAGGTTACTTGCTTTCCTCTCATTTTCCTTCCTCTGAGGATGGTGGGGGGAGCCAGGCCCTGGTGGGAGGTTCCTTTGCCCTCGGGCCCGAGACCGGGTGATGTGAACCTTTCCACAAACCAGAGAGAAAGGCCCTTCTTACCTTGGCTGTCAGAATGCTTTGCCTACTACATTCCGGGGATTAATGGGAAAAAAAAAAAAAAGCTGTTCTCGCTGCTTAGTTAAAAATGTTCTGTCACCAATGGTTTTGGAACATTTTTTTTTTTTTTGGCTGCGCCGTGCAGCATGTGGGATCTTAGTTCCCCAACCAGAGATCGAACCCGCGCCCCCTGCATTGGGAGTGCAGTCTTAACCAACTGGACCACCAGGGAAGTCCCCTGGAAGATATTTTTAAAAAATTCATTGAAATTTCGCAGGACGGTCCTAAGCTGTACAAAGAAAGTCTTGGTCCGGGTATGACAGAAACCCAGTATTCATAGGGTTGCAGTGTTTGTTGTGACCTAGTGCAGAACTAAGTATGAAACAGTGGAAATGCTGTGTGTAAAAAGCAGCTAATTAAAATGAGGTTGGATATAGATGGTGGTTTTGCAAATCAAAGGGAACATTTTATCTTTTTCTAATTTTATGTTATTCTAACCTTAAGTATTATTTGTTAAGGTCTTTGTAAATGTATTGAAGGAATCTCTATCCAGCTTATTTCCCTTGGTTGGGCCAAATTTAAAACTTTTAGGATAAAGTTGACTACTATTCAACTAGGTATCGTCCAGCCTGGAGTGTTTGTCCAGTTTATGTTTTTAGGCTTAATAAAAATAAGAACTAAACAAGCATCATTCTCAAGCTTTAACAGTTAAAGTCGGAAAAGTCTTGAGAGATTTGTTGGACTTTGTCTTTCCCCCACGTCTCATTGGGCCCTACCCCACCGTCCAGCCCCAGGGAGTGTGACCCCGCGGGAGCTGCTGGTCCTCATCCTCGGGGGACACACAGTGTACTTGACGTTTCTGCAGAGCCCGTTCTTAGGACATGCTCAGATCTGCGGGCATCCTCACTCAGCCTGGGGTCTGTGCGTGGCCGTCAGGTGACCTTGAAGTAGTAGTGGGTGTATGAAGCAGGTGGTTTGGGGAGATAACACCATTTCATTAAAATTTGGCATCAAATTAAATAGTTAAAATATTAAGTTAGTTTTGGGAAAAGAATGTTAGAAATTCCGCACGATGGCTTTATGAACGTCTGATCTGGGCGGGAGTGACCTCCTCACCCTCAAAACAGGGCAGGGAAGGCTCCCGGGCCACAGCGGTGGTGCTTCTCCCCGCAGGCCTGGGCGGACGACGTGGGGCGCTTCTGGAAGATCTTCCGACACCCGCCCCATGTGCAGTTGAGGGCCGTGGCCGGTAACCATGACATCGGCTTCCACTACCAGTGAGTGGTCAGAGGAGGCCCCTGCCCAGCCTGGGGGGCCTTACCTGTGCGGTCAGATGGCGGGGCTCCACGCGGGCGGGACTGCTGTCCTGCACATCATACGCCTGCCCCACGGCTGATCTGTATGTGCCCTGGAGTGATTCTAACTTGAAACTTACATTTCGTGGCCAGTTTTCTTCGGGAATCAGAAAACAAGATGATTTGGGCTTTACTAGCTAATGTTCACACAGTGCTTCTGATGTGCCAGCCTGTTGGAAGCACTGTACTTCTGTACATTTAATCTCCTATTTTACCTAGTATTTTTTATTACTTTACCCACTGTACCAGTGAGGAAGCTGGGGCCCTGGGGACGAAGCCGCTAGCCCCAGGCTCCAGGCCCTGGGCTGGTCAGTGGTGGGGCAGTAGGGGTGGTACCTCGCCCACCTGGGGCCCATGGGAGCTCAGAACGAAGGGTGCTGGTCAGGCCCTCAGGTCCCGGAAGTTACTTTCTGTGTTCATGATACTCCTTAAGATGTCTTAAAATGGCTCGTTCTGAAAACTGTTTCTTTTTACAATTGAACATAGGATGAACACATACAAAATAAAGCGATTTGAGAAAGTTTTCAACCCTGAAAGGCTGTTTTCTTGGAAAGGAATTAAGTGAGTATCATCTGTGAATTCTTATGAAGACCCCTAGAACTTGAATTTCCTTAAGAAAGTTTAAACACGATGGTCATGTCCCAGATCATTGGATTAATCGGCTTCTTATCTCTAAATTCTTTAAGTGTCAGGCACCTTCTTCGTGCCCGGTGGACGTGCATGTGGGAAAGGAAGGCACATGTAGTGGGCGTCTCTGACAGTGCACTAGAGGGAAGGGGGCCCAGGGAACCACAGCTGGCTTTGTTGTCAATCCCAGTTTGGGCTCCTCTGGCCCAGCTAGCTCTGCAGCACCCCTACCCCCGCTGGGTTTTAGGCTTTGCTCTGTTGTCTTATTTCACATCATCTCCAAAGGGAGCCAGGGTGTGTGGGTGGGTCTTCGTCTCCCCATTTTACAGCCAAGATCCAGGCACACAAGGTCAGACGCTCAGCATGGCGGTCACCTGGGACCTTTCACACGTTCAGGGTGGAAAAGCCTTTACCGCGTCTTGGGCTCGCCCAGAGATGCTGTTTTGTCCTCTTAGCATCGTCTGCACCTGCAGACACAGCACAGCCGGGCTGAGACTTACAGCTGTGCTGGGGTTTCTTCCCCGTGGGTGTGTAGCTTCTGTGTCCCAGGGACACAGTTGCCAGCGGACAGCACAGGTGGCCCATGGCTGATCTCCTGCCCTTGCCTCAGTTTCGTGATGATTAACAGCGTCGCACTGGAAGGGGACAGCTGTGATATCTGCTCTGGAGCAGAGGCTGAGCTCCTGGAAATCTCTCACCGGCTGAACTGCTCCCGGGAGGTAGGACCCCACACACTCCCACCCCCAGGGCATGGCCTCCCTGCCTTCCCTCCCCACCGTCCACCGTCCAGTGAAGGCCGGGGTGTGAGTTAAGGGCCTGACCTCTGACCAGCAGGAGCATCGCCCCCAAGAGTGTGGAGACAGGCAGCGGCTGCCGGCCTCGGCCCCCATCCTCCTGCAGGTGAGGGGGTCCCCGCCCGTGTTTGGAGGAAGCGTCCAGGGTCTTATGGTCCCCTGACTCCTCTCTGACCTTGGACAGCACTTCCCGCTTTACCGGAGAAATGACGCCAACTGCTCCGGAAAGGACGCGGCACCCCCCGACGAGAAGTACACCCCCTTCAAGGAGCGCTACGACGCGCTCTCCCAGGAGGCCTCGAGGAAGGTTTGCTGCCTCTGGGACGCAGGGATGTTGGGGACACAGGGACGCGGGGTGGGACAGGCAGTGCCTGCACAGCTGTTTCATCCTCCCCCCCCCGCCCCCTCCCCAGGAAATCCACTTCTCTTCCCTAAGATCTAGTTAATAATGTTCTCAGCTATTCTTTATTCTGTTTTCCTATCACCACGTATTTGGGAAGGTGAATGACACTTAGAGTTAAGTTTTTAGGGACTTAATTAGAATGTGCTTTCTTAAGTGTGTGTGTCTGTATGTATATATTCACACGAATATTGATATACTATATGGTGTATGTAATATGCAAAGCAAAATATAAGTACATTTATGAAGTAGATTTATAAAAATATTTATAAAGAGAAAAATATAATTGAAAATATGAAATCTGGGATGAGAAGAATAGATTCTCCCTAAGAGCCTGAGCTCAACTTTTGGTGGAGTCTAAACAGCCCAAAGGATTTTCAGGGCCGAGGGAAGCGGGCCCGCCCACCTGTGGGGGCTTCGTGGTAGCCACGGGGCAGTGGCCGCGGGGTGGTGTCTCTGGTGGTGGCCCTGGGCCCCGGCTGCACTCTCCCCACCTCTGCTGTCACTGCAGCTGCTGTGGTGGCTCCGGCCGCGCCTGGTCCTCAGTGGCCACACGCACAGCGCCTGCGAGGTCCTGCACGGGGCCGGCGTCCTGGAGGTCAGCGTGCCATCTTTCAGTTGGAGGAACAGAAACAACCCCAGTTTCATCATGGTACGTGAACCTTTATTTTCGTCTCAAAGCTTTCATACGTATTTAAATCAACACAGTGATCAACTACTGAATTGCTGCAATCTGTGAAAATACACAGAAGCTGTAAACACCACCCCCCAGGCGTACCAGCAGGAACACCTCTCAGGGGACAGTTGCGGCTGCGCAGGGACACCTCAAGGCGTCTCATCCTGCGTCCCTGCAGTGCCCTTGGGTTCCAGCTCTGCCTATTCCGTTTTCTAAGGAAGCAGGGTCATCTTGTGTTATTTTCCAAACATGCCCATTTGTTCTGACAGAAAAATGCTACAGCTCTTGCATGTTTATTAAAGATGTTAATTAGTGATGACCTGAAGCTTCAGCTCCTTTCTTTGACACATGAGTCCAGCATCCAGGTCACAGTGCTTTCATGTCAGGGGCTTTTACTTCATAACAAGATGGGGAAAACCTCCTGTTTTCAAATTCAAAGTAAATGAACGTTCCCCACTGTCATTCCACATAGCAAAAACACCTACCAAAAAAAAAAAAAAGCCCACTGAGATGCCCCCAGCACACGTATTTCTGGTAACAGTTGCTTATTTCAGCATCAAGCGGTGTGGAAAACAGCCGTGTCCTGCTTGTTCCTGGATGACCACTGATGCTAAGTGTCCAGGCCTCTCTGAACCCCTCTGCCATGTGCCCCCCCGCGGGTTTTAGAGGAACCCCCCGTGCTAGGGGCTAGATTCAGCGGAGGTCAGCTCCAGGTCGTGCGCTCTCAGCACACTGCGACCCAGTGCTTGGGGGCGGGGGGTGGCTAAAGGCTGTGCCCGCGGTCTCAGTGCCTCACGCCCAGTGGCTGCCTTTTCCTCGGTTGGGTCTGTGGGTTGGCGCTGTCACGGCAGCTAACGGTCTCGCTTACTCTCCAGGGCAGCGTCACGCCCACAGAGTACGCCCTTGCCAAGTGCTACCTGCCCTGCGAGGACACGGTTCTGACCACGTACTGCACGGCGGCCGGGGGCCTTGTGCTCCTCACGTTAGTCCACGCTGGGCTTGTAGCCTCACCTTTTCATTTCGGTTGGAACATGCTCAGAAAATTTAAGACCACGTGAGTAGCAGGAGACGTTCTGCACTTCGTAGTTAAGTCCCGAAGCCAACGAAACTGAACTTCGGGCAGTGCTTACGGAGGGCGAGACCAAAGTGGGCCATGGGCACAGCTCGTAGGATCTGGGTTGCTGGTGCAGAGTCCTGCAGGATCAATAGTTGATTGTGCTGTTCTCACGCTGTGAAAATGGGACTTGTCTCTACAGCTGGTCTGTCTGCTCGTTGTATCAAATATATGTGTAATCAAAGATTGTGTCTGTACAGTGTGTAAAAGCTATGAATGTCATCACTTGCATGCACTAGACAGCCTCCCTTCCCCAAGACGGAGGGTCAGCTGTTCACAAATGCTGGGTTTGCTTCTGTCCTCCTATGAGTAGTTCTCAAGTTCTTATATTTTATAAAGCTGTATACTTAAAATAAAATACAGATGCTACAAGCAGGAATACATTGTTCTCAAGGCTTTTGTATTTCTGTGCTAAATTAATGGAATCAGATTTTTATTAATTAATTAATTTTTTTGGGCTGCGCCACGCGGCATGCAGAATCTTAGTTCCCTGACCAGGGATCAAAACTGTGCCCCCTGCAGTGGAAGCACAGAGTCTTGACCACTGTACCGCCAGGGAAGTCCCTGGAATCAGATTTTTAGATGAGCGTAATTTTCTCTCCAGCAGACCAAGTTGTTAAATTTGAATTGAATGCCTGTCAGTGACCAAAAGAAACTTGGAAAATGGACCAGGAAGAGGCTTTTTGTATTTAAAAATAAATATGCTGTGGTAATTTTAAACCGGATAAAATGTATTCTTTTTTGTGTTTTTTTTCCTGAGAGTCTGGCTCTTCAATCAGACTTTTAAATAGGAAGTTTAGTTACAGTGGAATTGTTGAATAATAATGCATGTGAAAATATACAATTTCATTTTTTTGGGTGTATGTGTGGGGCTGTAGCTCTTCAGATTTTCATGTTTTACTTTGAAAATGCAATGGAAACTGAAAATCATTTCCACTTTATATGTCTCAGTTCAACTGAGAGTTTTATGAAATAATCAAGGATGACAGGAAGAGGAATTCGATGATAATGAAATTTAAAAAAATGTGATGGTGCATTGTCTGTAAAGTTGTCATCCTTTATTTCATGGAAGAGCAGTATTTAAATGTGGATGAGTTTACAAAGGATTATAAGATGCTGCTTTATAGAGTAAACTTAAAAATATTAAAGACTAAAAGACGAAATGGAAGTTAATGCAGTAACGCAGGCTAGGCTGCCCCATCTCTGCATTTGTGTCGTTGAAATATAAGCTTGGACAATTTAAAAGATTGTCTTTGACCTGAGAAAACCGCCCTCAAGGCCATGGATAGATGAGAATGGCTTTCTAGGTCTTGAGCTGGATGTAACTCATGAGGCTGCATTTGCAAGTCTTTCAAGGTTGAGAAACAGCCATGTATTTTGACTTTGTATTTCAGATAAAGGCTTTGTAATGTTTCTTCTTCAAAAGGCAAATCACATTCTATCCTTTGATTCTCCAAGGCCAGGCACAAGCCTGGAACCCTTGTCTTTTTCTCACTCTTTGTTTACGATGAGACCTGTGGTCAAGTAAGTGGTTCAAAAACTTTGACTAAGGGAATGGGTGACCTTGGAAAAGTCTTTAAATTGCCAGATAATTGAGAAACATGTTTTCTGGAGAGAAAAAGACATCCTTGGTTCCCCGAAAGAAGCTTGTGATGTGGGTGTGGCATTTTGTGAAATGTGGATGATTAACGTGTATCATTTATATTTATAGAAATTTTTATATATATATTTATCAAGGAGTATTGTTAAAAAGTACCAACCTGATAAAATACCCTAAGCTCTCTATACACCATTCACTCCCTTTCTCAGAGCAAGCGGCAGTATGATGACAGCTGTTCAGCACAACAGAAACACGTTTCTTTTACAGGGACAGCCATAGTCAAGGCACGGAGATCTACAGGGATTTTCCTTGAGTAGTTATACAAAATAATATTACATTTCGTGGTCTGTACAGTGTAATAAACCAGCAGTAAAACAACAAAAAGAACCTATGAAAGGAGGCCGTTGCCTGAGCAGCGTGAGTCTGGGGACCATCGTGGATGGGACACATGTGGCCAGAGCGAGGGGGGGGTTTCTGCTGATGTGTGGATGGTCAGAGGGGCTCTGACACAGAGGCTGAGGCCAGCCGCCCCTGGAGACAGGACTGAAGGGGGGGGTCTGTTCCCACTGCGGCTTGGGGGCTCCTCTGAGTCGTGGGCCCATGGGGTCAGAAGGGCGACGCCCCATCACGCTTGGGCCAGTGCGTCTCCCCATCTGCCAAGTTCTCCACGAGTCGGGGCCCCCTCACCCCCACACAGACCGGGGCGGGGTGGTGGGGGCAGAGGTGGCCGGGGGCCCGGAGGTCACGAGAGCCCGCACGATGGACGGGGACTCGCTGCTCTGTGCCGGGTGGCCCTGGGACGCGGGGCGGGGTTGGGGGGCTCACAGGAGCTCGTACTGCTTGAGGTGCATCCGCTGGATGATGTCCCTGCAGTCGTTGAAGACGCGGCGGATGTTCTCTGTGTCCACGGCACACGTGAAGTGCGGGTAGCAGTAGTGCTTGCCGTCGCCCGTGGCCGTGCTGATGCGCTGCGGAGATGCAGCCCGTCAGCTCCGGGGGACCGAGGGCCGGGGGTGGGGGCGTCTGTGTCAGGGCTGAGCCCCCCATTTCTCACTTTTTATGTAAGTTTGAAATCATCTCAAAATACAGAGTTTTTTCAAAAAGGGAACGTCTGAACCTGAGCAGGTCCGTTTCCATGTGACCCTTCAGCTGAGGAGAGGCCACACCCCGCATCCCACTGAAAGGCAACACGCAAGCGGGGTCGGTCATCTCAGTGCTGCCCCGGGGCCTGTACCCTGCCCGTTCCTGCTGGGAAGTTGTGTGACCTGAGGTCGGAAGTCCGACCTCTCTGAGCCTCCGTGTGCTCAGCTATGAGAGGAGGGAACGACACCTTCCCATCCCTCATTGTTTGGGGGAGATTAAATAAGCTCGTGAGAGACTAAGTGCAAAGAGCAGGGTCACCCTAAGGTGGCAGGACAGCAAAGGGCAAGGAAAATGCTCACCAAGAACAGATCCCGGATGAAGAACTTAGCTCTTGTGACTTTGGGGTCTTCTCCTGCATCTGGTGTCGCTGTAGAAAATCAAAGGGAATTTTATTTAAGTGACATGACACACAGATACAGCTGGATGGAGCCTGTGCACACAGAGCACGGAAGCACACGGGCCATGCAGCCAAAGACTGAAACGTGACCTTCGTCTCTCTCCTCCTCCCAGGTCACTTTGACTTCAACAGTGGTTTATGTTTGGTGCCGGGTGAACAGCTTCTACTCAAGTCAGATGAAGCGTCTCACTGACTGGTGAGCCAGCCCCCAGTCGCCTGCACCTGGTGAACCGTCCTGCAGGGAGGGCTGCCAGCTCATCCTGAGACTTTTCCCAGGAAAAATGCTGACCAGACAGGGTAAGGGGAGCAAGGGGCTGGTTCCCAGGAAAGGTCAGAGCAGGCCCGGCTGCTGCGGGGTGGGTGGCATGGGGGCTGGGGTGCTCCCAGAAGGCGGCTACTACCCGGGCCCAGGAAGCACCCCGCCAGGCTGGCTGAGGTTGGTGCAAAGACCGCGATTAGGTTTCTTAACTTCTAACTGAAGTTTCTGGGAGAGCCCCCTTCATCCTGCTTTATCCAGTTTGGGATAAAACCTTGAGGAGTGGGGTTATTTTGCCATAAGCAAATCCCTCCTTGGAGACTCTGGTGGCCCAGGAAACTCAAAACCCAAGAGCAGCCACTGGAAATGTGTCCCGACTCCTCCAGGTTTGCCAGACGGGACCTTCCCGGCTTCAGCACTGAAATTCCCGTGTCCCAGGAGCCTCACAGCCTCCCGGGACGGCTGGTCACCCGATGAAGTCACCATGCTGTGGCCAAAGTCATCGCTGGGGACAGAGGCCTCAACACGGTGGTCGGCAGCGGGCGGCTCGGGACAGAGGTCACTGCTGCCCCATCCCTGCGGGCCTGGCCGGAGTGACTCAGACAGCGACTTCCCGGTCAGTCACTGTGCGGGGTCAGCAGGCAGGTCCAGGCGGACCGACCGACACGGGGCCCCGGGAGGCAGAGCTTCCCTGCAAACCCCGCATGCACGTCAAGCTGCCCTTCCTCCTTCTGCTCAGCGTGGACCAAGCTGAACTCTGAAAATTTTACAGATGGGACCCTAAGGACATTTTAATACTCTAGAAGCTAAGGGTGGGGCAGGAGTCAAGAAGATTGATCTAAATTAACTGAGTTTCCTAGATTCGTCAGAACCGTAGGAATTACAGTTACAGGGCTATGGAAAGAACAATTCTTTCCCTTAATCGCAAGATACTTATTTTGGAATCTTACCGTCTTCAGGAACAGTATAATTTGCGTACTCTGGGAAATAGTCTTCAATCTTTGATTTCCCTGCCAACACTTTTTCTGCCAGCATATCCTGTTTGTTCAAGAACAAGATGATGGAAATGGTCCGTAACCACCTGGAAAGGAGCAGGAAACACACAGGTGTGGGCCCACTGCCTGAGCAGGCACCTCAGTCGCAGGCATTATCCATGGAGAGGACAACGTGCTGCCCTCCGGACGAGGCGCCGGGCTTGGGATTATTTGATGCCCCGGAACCTCAGCCCCCACTCCATCTGCACACAAGACTCTCTCATGAGGATAAACCCTCAGGAGAAGGATTCAGCTCCACAGGGCTGTACTGGCGCCAAAGCCAAGGTTCACGTCAGGAATAAATACGCTGGGATTTGTGTGGTGTAATTTACTAGTAAAGGGTCAGAAAAGCGGGAGAAGTTAAAGCTCTCACAACAACAGAAACAGAATAGATGGTCACGCAGGGCATCTGCGGCTCTTGGGCGAGGAGCTGGGTGTTGAGGGTCTGGGTGGGGACCTGTCACCTCGCTGACAAGTCGAGGGAGGGGCTCAGGGGTCATCGAGTCATGAGCGATGTTTTAAATGGGCGCTTTTTGCATTTTAAAAACCAAACGAAACCAATTTTGAACCGTATATAACCTTCCAAAACAGAGGCTGGATTTTCCTGACAAAGTCCCATCAGCTTCACACCCCCATCTTAAGTAAGTCTCTACATTAAATGGACTGAAAGAAGCTTCTTACGGTTTTAGAAGATTTATCACAAGGAAGGACTGCATCAGAGAACAAAGATGAAAGCAAGCCGAGAGGCATTATTTTTAAACGCAGCGGGAGGCCGAGTTTACTGTCTTGTCACCTGTTGTTCCAGATGCTCTCGAAAAGGTCCAGGGACTCCCGCAGGCGGTTGGTGTTGTTATCTTCCCGGATCACCATGTTGTAGCTGCTGCAGGCGGCCACGTAGATGATGGCGGTGACGTCTGGGTGGGAGGAGTGGGGGAGGCACCTTGGTTATTTAGAGCAGTTACAGCCACCCGTGTCCGGGGAGAGCTCCCTTGTGATCGCAGAATTGACCCGGGGCCCCCAAACTAGCAGAGACAGTGTGACCCCAGGATGCTTAACTTCCGTATTCATGGAACTAAGACACTTGATAGGTGAGCGGATTGAAAGCTACTGAAACACAGCAGCAGGAGGGAGTGTGGGTTTGTCCCCATTTTCTTGAGAGAGGGAGAAATCACCGTTGAAGCACTGGATCCATTTTCTTCTCTCGTCCCTCTGGCCTCCGACGTCAAACATGCTGGGGGAGAACATGGGTTGGGGGGTGCCGTTAGCCAGGGGCGGGAGGACATCCGTCCTTTGCTCTCTCCCTCCCCCTGGCCCGTGGCTCTGCTCCCCAGGGTGACCTTGCAGACGGGCCCAGCGGGGCCTCCCCAGTCTGGCCCAGATGGGTGTCCACACCCCGGTATTTCTCTGATCCCGGCCCTTAGCCCTGTGATCAGTGGCTGCTTGGCTCTCCTTCCCCCTGGGCAGCCCCTTGCCTGCGTCCTCCTCCTCTGCACCTGCCTGAGGCCACCGGGCTCGAGTGCCTCCCTTCCCTGCACTGACACCTGGGCTTGCGGGCGCGCACACGGGTTTGCAGCACTGCAGGCCCGGGATCGCCCGGTATCCAGGCCGCTTCCCCGACCCCAGGCCTGGGGGCCCCGCGGGAGGGTCCTGCCCACACGCTTACTGGAAGTTGACCTTGTCCACTTGGAATCGTGTCTCGAAAATCCCTGAGGTCAGAACTCTGCACCTGAGGAGGTCCTGGGGGCAGAGAGAAGCAAACAAGTGACCCCTGTCCTCAGGAGGACAGCCCGGGGCAGCCACAGGCTGCGAGTGTCCCAAACAGCAATTCCCTCCATCGGAAAAGAAACAGGACTTGAGACCAAGAGACAAATGCTCTTGGTCTCGCTCCCCGGAGAAAGTCACAGTTAATGTACTGGTTTGGTCTTGGAGACTTGATGGCTCTGCTTTTATTTCCTTTAGAAGCTTCTTGTAATCACTCCTGAGTGTTCCCTACTGACACCATGTCCCCAACAGCCCGCCAGTGTCTGGGGAGAGGCACCCGTCCCGCCAGCTGCCGCTCCGGATCAGACTCACTCACTCTCCTCTCACAGTTCTAGTCTCTAAGGTAAAAGATGATGAGAAAGCCGTACAGTTTCACAAGGCTGACACCTCTGCTGGCCTGCCAGGTGTCAGGGTTTCTTTCCTGGTCACCAGATCCATTAGGATGTAAACTGGCCACCGCAGTGGCTCTGGAAGTGGAGGGCGGTGGCCCCTGTGAGCCCGATGAGAAGTGTGAGGACAGACTCGAGGGGCAGGCTCAAGGCCAGGGTAACTGAGCTCCCAGGGTCGGTCTCGTAGAGGGATGGACTCCAGGGGACGACCAGGAGCTCAGACCTCGCGGAGGGGGGGGGGTGCGCAGGGAGCCTCCCGGAGGAGCACGGCTGGGCCCCGAGGGTACAGTGTCCCCCGGTTCGGGTGGTGGTCGTGGCCCAACCCCACCTACCTGGTCTGTGGGCGTGTAGTCCACCAGGCTGACGCTGTCAATTCTCTCCAGGAAGCTGAAAAGAAAGCCAGACGTGCTTGGGACCGCTCTGGGGATGCCTCTGGGCTGGGGGGCAGGTGTGCAGGGCCTGCACGAGCCCAGGGGGACGGGGCAGCCACGGGCCAGCAGCTTCCCGCGTTCTTCCTGGACACATGTCTCCCCAGCAGGTCAGAGTCCTGAGGGTCCTGATCCGTCGCGGTGGGGGAGCGGGGGTCCAGGCCTCTGCCCTCCCTTGACAGGTTTGACATGTATTTGTCTTTCTGTTTATCGTCTGTCTCTCCCTCCAAATGTGGGACCCACAGGGCAGATCTGGCTTGTTGGCCGGGTTTCCCCAGCGCCTGTGGGGCAGCCCAGACCCTGCATATTTGTGGGATGAAGTGAGCAGGGGGCCGTGAGGCCCAGCCTGCAGCCGACACAGGAAGACACAGCGCTGGTTAACCAGTGAGCAAAGGACCACTTCTCGAGGGGTGGGGGTAGCAGAGTGTGTGATGAGTGGGCGGGGCTCTCCTGGTGGGGGGTCCCTGTGGCTGAGGTGGGGCTCAGGCCCTGGGGAGAGTGGCTGTGACCTGGATCAGGGGGACTCGGCCGGAGTCCCTGCCTGGACAGCTCGGGGTCCACTGTTCCGTATCTGGAGTGAAGTCATGGTGGGCCTTTCTCCCAGCCTGTGTGCCCGTGAGCTTCTGCACAGAGTGGGGAGCACCTCCCCACCTCCACACAGCCCCCCTCCCCAGCCAGCACTGCAGGCCCTTGAGCTGCTCACAGGAGGAGGTGGGAGTGCAGAAGACCCCGGAGGAGCCACAGGAGGGGACCCCTGAGAGCTGAGTCTGGTTTGAAAACCACAGTGCACTCTGGCCCAGTCCTTGCCGGCCTTGCATTTGGTGGAGTGGAGGGCACCTCAAAGTCCACCCCGACCGTCTAGCAGGACAGGAAAGGGGCAAGAAGACTTGAGTCTGTGATGAAGAGGGAGGGGTGTCTGCCGAGGTGGGGAGGGACTCTAGACTATAGCCCAGAAACCTGGGGGCTTCGGTGGGGAGATGAGCCACCCCCCTTCCCTGTGTACGGATGTAATAATTTGAAGCAGAAGTGGTCTGTCCTCTCGGCAGGGACATCTAAAATGAGAAGGTGATACAGATACTGATCATCTCCGATCGAAAGGGCTGGAAGGAACTGAAAATCAAACCAAATATGAAGCCTTCAGCCCTGGTTAGAGGGTAGGAGGCGCTCGATTTCAAACACGATGCAGACAGGGTGGAGGGGGTGGGTGAATCTGTTCAGATGGTAATAACGGGTTAAGTAGAAACAATGACGTGTGGTTAACAAAAAAGACATCAGAAGTTGTTGAAAGATCAGAGACCGCCTTCCCGAGGACACGTGGGAGTACCTTCCTGACCACTTCCTGACCGCGACTAAGGAAAGATATACCATCTGTCCCCACCCCTGAGCCCGGGGTGAGTGTCCAGGGTTCCTTCCAGCTCTGGTACTTAACCACCTGAGACCTGACCGGCATCAGTGAACATTTCCCAGAGCATCTTCTGAATTGTTACTGATGGTGAATAGTCCTCTGAATTCATGGATTTCAAGTTTGTGCAATGGAAGTAAAATGTGAAAATTCCCCGGATGTGAATGTTTCCCTGGACATTTGAGAGCCTCTCTAAGGAGTAAAGGCTAGCAGTTGACTTCTGCCAGACTTTTGACTTAATCTTTGGTTCAACTGGTGTATCTCCCACACGTTGTAGTAGGACTTCTTCAAACTGGGGCTCTTAATATATAGAGAGAGGAGTTTTAAAAGGATCTTCCAAATCATGCACAGAATTTTGTATGACTAAAATTTAAAAGGTTTTGTCCCTAAATATACCACTGCCTGCTTTGCCATAAAATTAACAAGATCTAAGAATTCCACTTGTAGACCATTCACTCCCACTAGATAAAGAGTCGCAGGACAATAACAAAATACAATTATAGAAAGTCACGTCCCGGACTTCCCCGGTGGTCCAGTGGTTAAGACTCTGTGCTCCCAATGCAGGGGCTTGGGTTCGATCCCTGGTTGGGGAACTAGAGCCCACATGCCGCAAGTAAGACCCGGTGCAGCCAAATAAATAAGTAAATAAATAAATATTAAAAAGAAGTGTCACCCCCACCCCCCACCCTTATGGTCACTTTAAGAAAAGCAGTTAAAAGGCAATTGACTTTGATCTCTCTTCACTGTTTCCTGCTACAGCTGAGGATATTTGCGTTCGCAGAGGTGTTTTTATTTTGGCCACTGGGATCCCCCTCTGCTCGACATTGGCACGAAACAGCAATTCACTCTTCACTTCTCATCTGTCTGCCACCCCAGTAACTCGGGTTCTTGTGGGCCGGGGGTGGGGGTTGAGGGGGGGGGATGGTGAAAAGATGAAGCTATCCTGTTAAATGCCTTTGAACAACTGGATCTCAGGAGAAGCACCAACGACATTTAATTAAAATGTACTTAAAATGATTTATTTCTTTTATGAAAAATGCAGCAAGTCGGAGCTGTGTCAAGCCAAGTGTCAACTACAGATTGGCATTTTCCATTGGCACTTGCCATCGACCTCTACAAGGATTAACTCTTGTGCTGCTGCAGCTGCTGGCTTTCAACACCCCCTGAAAGGAGTTCAGGTGGACAGCAAAAATGAGGCACTCTGTGCTCCGGGAAAAACTGGCAGAACAGGTCTTCAGAGAGTTGGATGTTTTCAGAAGCCGATTTTATGAGCCCAATTCTTGTATCTGTTCATATCTAGAAAAGCACTAAAATCCTTCATGGTGACGACTGC